TATTTTCTTATTTAATATTTATTCCACTCGTATCACACTTTTCGATCTTCCGGATTATTCTGCCCTTTTTGGCCGGGTCACCTGTTTGTGGGTTTAGCCGTGTCACCTGATGATTAATTTACGGGGGGAGAACCTGACCTGGTCACGTTTCGGGTTTCATATTCTCCCCTGCTTAGTTTATGCGTGCCCCGCATAAACTCAGATACCAGAAGTTTATCTATGATGTCATATTTAGGTAAGTATTTAGGCAACTTTTGAAATGTGAGTTCACCAAAAACTTCAGGTCTTCAAGCTTCAATAGGGCATTCGTGGTTGGATTAAGTCATGGATTATTTACACAAGATAAGTTATTTTTTAATTCTTTGTTTTTTTGTTTTTGACTAATATCTATTTTTCATTCATTATTATCATTAGGTTTTCTTTCTACGTCATCATTTTCTTTTTTGGTGATAGCTTTGGCTTAATCTGTATTGCAGTTTCTTTGAGGTTAGGTTCATTTATGTTCTTATGAATTAACCTTCTTTCTTCTTGTATTAACTTTCTAGGTTTTGATTCACATATTTCGATTTTATCAGTCTCTTTTTCTATTAATAACTTTCTTTCTAGTAGTATTGGTTCTGGTTCTTTTGTCTTTGGTTTCTCTTAGAAGTTTGGTTTAGATAATTCTTCTCAACTATTTTTTTTTTTGTCTTGCTTTTGCTTTTCTGATTTTTACAATTTTCTTTCTAGTCTACTAGATTTGACTTTGACCATTTAATTAGTTTCAGATTTCATAATAAGAGGTTTTTCAGATCAGCAATTTTCTTCGCTTGCTATTTCATTTCTTATCACTGATTTCAGGACTTATTCAAACATTGTTTTTCTACTCTTAATCATGTCTTTGTCTTTCTTAATTCTAATTCTGAAAGAATAACAATCATAAGCTTCATCATGAGCAGCAATAGTAACAAGTTCTTTTGATTCAAGTAGGTATGTTTTTACTTTTATAAGTTCTTTTTTATTTATCCTTCTAAACTTATTTACTTTGTTCAACCAACTTTTATAGATGCAGTTCAGATCTATTTTTTTACTTTTCTTTTTAATTACTGTTATTTTATCACTATTATCTTAATAACTATGATAACTGTTATTACCTTAGTGACGATTATAATTCTTATGATCCTTTTTATTATTATGATCTCAGTATTTTCTTATTTAATATTTATTCCACTCGTATCACACTTTTCGATCTTCCGGATTATTCTGCCCTTTTTGGCCGGGTAACCCATTTTTGGGTTAGCCGTGACACAGGCCGCGTGACTTAGCCGGATTACACTGGATATTCTGTATTTTTAATTTAGATATTTATTATGATCAGCCAGTGAATAAGAGTTCTTTTATTGAAACTAACACATTTCCTGTTCCAGGTATATATATTAATGCTAAACTTTTACGAATATATAAGTTAACATCTTATTTACAATTTTATTCAATAAATTATAGTGCTAATGTTTTCAAACATTCCATATAAGTCTTATTTAAATTGTTATTTCACATATAATGGTAAGCATTAATATTAGAGTACTATTCTGTATTAAACGAAATTTATTGAAAATATTTTTTAATTTAAATCAGCTAATAATACCCGCGAAGATAATAATGCATGCTCTCAATATATAAGACAGCCTATATTAAATAACAGTACTTCTAAATATGATGGCAACTTTTTAACTAATGGAAATTTATTATTTTCAACAAATCCCAATGATGACTTAAAAGATTTTGGAATTATGGTTTATATTGATGATTCTACGAAGCATCCAATAACTTGAGTTACCGTATTGTCGCGTAATAGCGCGCAAGGGTTAAATTGGGAATTTCGGCCTAAATTAAGCTTAATTTGGGCCATGATTCTAAATAACGCACCTGCGCGTTATTACGCGACAATACGGGTAAGTAAAATTTTTCAGGAGAACAAATAGCATATAAAATAAAAGATTCATGTTATTTTGATAATTTTTTATTAAGTCATTTTTATGTTTTACGTTTGCATAAAAAAAATTTAAATTTATTCGTGTAAACATAAAAATGATTTAATAAAATGTGATTAAATTATATTTTGTTCTTCTGAACAAGTTTACTTAAGACGAATTATCGATTAACTTAGAAAGATTTTGACTTTTATATGTAGCTACGATCATCGATAGTGAAATAATATAGTTTGATAATTTTTTATATTAGGTATCTGACCAATAAAATTATTTTATATGTAAATGACCTAAATGATCTAATGACCCAAATGACTCTGGTCATTATTTAATGACTAGAGGTTATTTAAATTTTGATCCAATGACCAGGTCATTTACCATCCCTGTTGTGATTTGCATGATCACTGTTATACTAGGAAACTTACAAACCTCAGTAAAACTAATTCATATTGATCATGTGATTTCAAGGACATTCATGTCTGTGAAACTAATATAGATGATATCACAATGTATTACTGATACCGATACTAACTAATTCTAAGAGTTCTGATCAGGATTAATTAACTTTAATAGAAATACTATATTGTCATTTTTCATTAGTTTATATATATATATCAATTTCTTTAAATAATTATACTATATAGATATTAGCATAGTCAATAGTTATCTTATTAGCATTGTACTCTCTAAAACATGTAAAAATATCTTTGATATTCCTCTGGGAAATCAATAGTTTGTTCTAAATAGACTTAAGTATAGTTTAATTTGACTATTGAATAAACTCAAAGTTATAGTTATTTTCTTTACAAAAAATACTCAAAATTAGAATTGCTAAAAATTAGCTTTTTAAAAGTGCTGATAAAGTACTAATTTTTGCCAAATTTTGTACTTTTTTAGTATTTTATTATTATAATTTTAGTATAAGAAATTATTAGCAAATTATTATAATAATAAAATGCTAATATTTACAATATATTAGCAAAATATTAGTAATAATAAAAGCCTAAAAATTACTAATAATTTAGGTTGTTAATAGTGCTGATAATGCAATAATTTTGTAATAAATTAGTAATATTACTAATTTAATACCAATAAAGTATTTTATTTTGCTTATATTTTGCTAATTTTTGCAAAATTTAAATTTTAAGATTTTTGTAAAGTTGAGTAACTAATGTGCTTAGTCTAAATAACTAGTAATATTATATTAATTAATAAACTATTAAAATGATCATTTGTATCTTCATATATGTTTAATTGTTTGCCTCTTTTGTAACTGCAAATTATTTTAAATTCTATTTGATGTTAATAGCAATACATATCTTTTACTTAATACAAACCTAATATCTTAATTAATTTACTAATATCTATTATTAAGTAAACTGTTACTCAAGATCATAAAATTAGTAGATTCTGGTTGTGACAATTTGGTAGTAACTGTAAGATAAAGTCCTTTGTTATTAAAAGAAAAACATTAGTAACCTAGAAAATTAAATTCTTATATTTAAATAATAAAACCTCCAAGATATATATTGGCAATCTGATATTTATATAAAAGAAATTTTGATTAAGTTGTTCTTGTATTTGTGATATACTGAACTTCAATAATCTCTAAACAAAAAGAAAGTTAGTAAGTTTTCTATAAGCCAAAGTATAGGCATAAGGAATATTATATATAAATACTAATAATAGGAAAAATACGTATTTTATAATAACATATATATAAATATATATTAATATATATAAAATATAAAATATACATAATACTACATGATATAAATTCTCTTTTTTCTGTTTTATTTCAGTAAAAATTGTTATGTTTCTTGAATTTCAATTGCAACCTTGCTCACTTTGAGGTTCATTTATTTTCTTTACAGAAATTTTCATAATTTTTAAAATTCTTATCTTCTAATTCTGCTTAGCATTATGCTCTTTGGTCTAAATTAAACAGCCTAACTAAATATATATAAATTCTTAATAGGTAAAAATATATATAAAATAGAAAAATACATATAAATTCATATTTATATATATGTTTCAAATATCATGTACATGCATAATACTCATTTCTAATAAATATATATAATGTATTTATTTGTTGAAATCAAAAATATAACTACAACTTAATATATTTCATTTAAAAGACAATTATTACAAAACTATTCTTATTCTCTTTGTTACTCAGTATTAAGACAAATATTACAATGATTTAGTACTTTTTGTAATTGGCTTTCTAAAAAATATCCTATTAACAACTATACTGCAGTCTCTATAGAACTATTTAGGAGGATAATTCAAAGATTAAATTCTTCTAATAAATACTTTAGAGCTATAATTTTTACCTTCAGATACAGATTTAAAGTTGATTTTAATACACTAACTCTTCAACTTAAACAAGCCTATATTTTAACTGATTATTTCTAACTAGATTTATTTTTAATTTTATATAATTATAGTAAAATTATATCTATTAAAAATTCAGAACATTAAAAAAAATGCAATTACTAACTCTTTCCATAAATCACTTGTACTAAAACTTCTCAAAAACATTTTGTCATAACTAAAAATTTTACTAAGTAAACAACTCTTAGACTACTAAGCAAAATTGTTTTACACAATATTTTGCTCTAAGGCAGTCTAATTTTATATCTCTCAGACCTAAACTTACTGAGATATTTTATTTAAACTATTAAACTGTTCTTCTAAGTCACCTACTCTTGCTTACTAAAAGAGTTGTGCTCAGCTTGCTCTGAGCTTCATTTTGATATATATTTTATTCAAAACAAACTAAAACTCAATATTTTACTTCCAAAAAACTACTTTAAGGCTTTTTTCTTAAAATTCACTTTATTTTCTACTTTTTCTTCTTTACCTCTTCCAAACCTGAAACTGGATCATGTGATAGCTCAAGAAAAATCATTGGCTTACTCAACAATTACTAATTCCCCTTTTTAGCTCAATTTAATTTAACACAAATTAATCAATTACTTATTTGTTTTCTTTCTAATTTGTATTACATATAGTACTAAACTTAATCTATTTTTAACTTAGTGTTATATATTTGTACTTCATACTATACTTGCTATACTAGCCACACTAGCTACATTAGCTACTAAGCTATACTAGCCATACTAGTTACACTTTGTATCATATAATATTACACACATTACATAAAACAAATAATACTATTTCACGTACCTCTTCTCGACTTTATTCTCTTAAACTCTAAACATGCCTACTCTAATTAGTTGGAAACTTGACTCATATGATATTGACTATTACTACTCCATATACAGAGATTGATTTGAAGTAGTAATAAATAAAAACAAAAACATCTTTCCTTTATGTTCTTGCACATAATATTAAACTAGCTCATTGTGAAGGAAATAACAAAAAACTTTACTACTTCATCATTCCTTTTTATCTGATTACTGCTACTTGCTTCTGTAGTTAATACTATATAAGCTTTACTTCTCACTACTATACTTTAACTCATACTACTTTAGGAAATTCTAAAGCAATAGATATTTCTCCTAATACAATCTCTGCAAAAGCTTATAGAAAAATTACTGATGAACTTATTTCTTCTCCTATTACATGTCATACTTCTACTATTCTCTTTTTAGAATTCAAAACTAATACAACTCCTGCTACTATCCAAGCACACTCTCAGCACCTATATTTCTGTATTATTTGCAGAATTAAAAATCTACTATATGTTTACACTACTGACAATAAATATGTATCTAATTATATAACTTCTGTACTCTTCAAAACTTGACTCATTCATCATACTTGCATTCCAAAAATTGTCAATATCCTAATCAAACTCCTAAGTCAAACCAGACCTCTTACTGATAAACAAAAAAATATTGTGATTATTCTTGCTTTCAGACATATGATATCATCAGAGAAACTACAATGCTACAAATCTTTAAAAATTTACAAAAAACCAAACTCCTAAAACCAAAATAATAACAACTAAAATAACAACAACAATAATAATAACAATAATAATAGTAATAACAATAACAACAACAACAATAGCAACAATAATTTTAACAACAACAATAATAATAAACTAAACAAACATAATACTCTAATGACTTTAACAGGTTTAAAACCCTCCTAGTTACTAAGGAAATAGAGAATAACACTAAACTTAACACATCTCTTGCTTAACAAATCTTTAACTTTTTAAACCTTATCTTATTGATTTTGCTCCTAGCAAAATTATTCAATTCATCTCCTCAAACAAAACTCCTTCTAAATATTCCTTTAAATATTTGCTTAAAACCTTTGCAGGCTATCATCCTGAGTTTTTAACCAACTTTGTATTCAAAACCAACTCTACTATTAATACAAATACTCCTATCCCTTTTGAAATTCTTTATAATATCGTTAAACTCCTTATAGCTAAATTTATATCTGTACTTTTAACTAAACTTAACTACAAAAAAATTTATCAATCTTATTACAATATATCCCTCTATATACTATCAAATTGACTACAAATATCTTTAAACCTTACTTACCTTTACCTCTTTCTTAATTCATCCTACTAAACTATTCATGCTGAAAAGTTTGCAAAGGATCTAAACATCATGCCTATTTACCTTACACTTAACTACTTTATTAGTCACAATGCAATTAATACTAACTCTCTTCAAAATCAAAAATGATAACAAATTTAACATCAACATCTTTCTTAATATCTATACCAAATTATTCCTTAATACATTCCAAATTCTATCACTAAAGCTTTTTAAAGAAGACTTTAATACATTGTTTGAAAAATTCTTTAACATCTATAAGCATTAATCAGAAAACATTATCAAATCCAAAGTTTATAACTTCCTAAAATATCAACTTGCAACCAAATATACTGAGGAACACAAAATACTTCTACTCAAAACATTTGATATTATTTCTATCAATTCTCTTCAAGAGCATACTTTGCTCTACAAAAAGGCTACCCTTTTTTACATGCATACTTGCAATGCAGACAAGGATACCAAATACTCTTTTATCTCTACAGATACTAAACACAATTTCTGAAATATTTCTTTACTCTTCTTCATTGAATTCTTCAAAAAATTTTCTGCTTCATATATTAAATCTACAAATTAAAACAAAAACCCTTGGATATTTCCAAAACTTAACTTTTCTATTTTTTAAAAAAACAACCAATACTCTGCTTCTTTCAAAATTTTTACTCCAACAAGCTTGTTCTACTAGCTTGCCAAAATAGCTAAGGAGAAATTTATAAAAATCAATAATACTAAAACTAATATTAAATGTTAAACATTTTACTTCTACTAATACTTCAAAGCCTTTCTTCACCACGCTGCCCAAAATAATAAAATTCTTAACCTCTCCTCAACTTAAGCTACTGAAAAAATTCTATCTCAAACTACTAATACAAATCATTTAGACCAAGTTCTTACCTACTTTAATATCCTCCAAAATGAGAGCAATATTTTAATTGCTTTAATTCAGAAAAAATACAAAGAAATCTTCTA